AGTATTGACAATTCGCACTCGGGTTGAAAGCGAAGCTAACGCGACTGGCCGACCAAAAAACCTAGGGTTTTCACACTCTCATCCATTAGCGTGAAAATGGCTAACCAATCATTTAAGCTAGAGAGAAGGGTCTATATGTATATGTATGTATAGGTTACAGATAAAATATAATACTGGGTTTGGCTATTTATTGCTTCAAATGACTCATTTCAATAAATATTCTGAAATTTTCCAAAATTCAAGCATGATTCTCATACTTTCATGTCTTTCTCGTAATTGGGAAACGACTACTCCATAAACCCCTTTGTGAAATTTAAGGTTTGAGATTCGTTATATGCAACCTGGTCTGGTCGTAGAGAATTGGATGCCATGAACATCAATTCCTTGCTGAACCAAGAACAGTCACTCCAAGAAATGCATAATCAACAAAATGGTCAACCACAGATGTCTTCCCACTTCGATCCGACGTCGTCGCATGATGATTTCCTGGAACAAATGATGTCGTCTATTTCATCTTCCAACTCCAGTTTTAACTGGGACGTGTCCTCCGTCGCGGGTCGAGCCGACCACGCGCCGCCTTCGAGTCTGCTTAGCCAATTTGATGACCAGTCGGCGCAGTTGGTTTCAAAGCTGAGGCAGCACCAGATCAGCAGTGGCGCGGCCAAAGCCTTGATGCTTCAGCAGCAGTTGATGCTGTCCAGAGGGCTTGCCGGAAACGGGCTTCAGTCTCCGACTGGGGTATCCGGCGGCGAGAGTGGGCTCCTGCAGATGCCTGTAAGTCTCAATAATAATGGTGACAACACCGATGTCGTTGACGGCTCCCTCCAATCTGCTAATCCGGTCAGCTTTTTGCTTCTTTAATTCTTTCTCTCAAAAAAGACGAAGAAACCTTATATTTATTATTTTACTAAACCGCCGGGAAATTTTTTGTTGTTGACGAATGATTATTATCTCAATACAGGCTAATGATACATCAATGCAAAGTTTATTCAACGGATTCACTGGATCTCTCGGCCAAGCTGCAAATCAATCTCAGCATTTCCACCACTCTCAGGTTTTCAAATATTCAAGTTAACTGTATTTTATGCAAATTTAAACTCGAGTATGCAAAATTAATTATGCTTTTACATGGAGTGACACAGAATTTTGGAGCGACAGCGGCTCCGTCTATGAATCAGCCTGCAGCGAGTGGTTCAACCGGCGGAGGGACGCCGGCGCAGCCTAGGCAGAGGGTGAGAGCAAGGAGAGGACAAGCCACAGATCCTCACAGCATCGCCGAAAGAGTATGACAATAATATAGTACAAAAGCAGTTAGAATTATTTTGTTTTTTTTCTGATTCAATTTTTCCGATTGATTTAACCATTTTTTGTCATTTTCTCTTGAGTTTGTTTGTGATTCTTGAATTTTTGAAATGAAATTTGGGTGAGCAGTTACGTAGAGAGAGAATTGCGGAGAGAATGAAGGCTTTGCAGGAGCTTGTACCTAATGCTAATAAGGTAATTTCACGGTACTCTCCCTCATGAAACGTATTTATTAATTCGATTTTGCTACCGATACATCAATATATACATAGGGTCTCTCTCACATGGGGTGATACCCGCTTGAATAAAAAAATATTTTATACAAATGGGTCTTACCTCATGTGAGGGGAGTATACACCATTATGTACAAATTTTGATGTACAAATAGAATTATTCTTATTAAATAATTATTGTTAATTTTTATAATTAATGACGTGGTGTATGGAATGACAGACGGACAAGGCCTCGATGCTTGATGAGATCATAGACTATGTAAAATTCCTCCAGCTTCAAGTCAAAGTACTCTCTTTTTCTCTCTCTACTTTAAAAACAGTGATTATTTATTTATTTATTCGATTCAAAAATTTGTAATGGGATTCTTTTTGGTTGACAAATTCGACCAGTTTCACCCTTTTTTTTCTAGATCATGTTTAACATTACTATTGTTGTCACAAATAATGGGTTGGAAAAAAATTTAAATTGTTCAATAATGTATTGTCACCTTCCCAAATGTAAAATTTAATGTACACCACGATATATACCAAGCATGATTGATGTAAAATTACATTGCTTTTTTTATTATTATTATTATTCTATTCAGGTTCTTAGCATGAGTCGATTGGGTGGTGCTGCAGCGGTTGCCCCCTTAGTTGCTGATATGTCCTCTGAGGTCAGTTACACTGTTGAAACATCGAAATATTCCCTAAATACATCTATTCTCTTTTACACATATTCAATACGAACGATTTTAAATAAAATTTGAACTTTTTTTTCGTTGTTTATTCATTATCATTTAATATCAAACATGTCATAACATGCTAGGTAAGGAGAGTGAACACGTCACATGCAATTCAAAAGCTACTATCGGCACATCTTTTAATCTAGAGTATACAAATATATGTCACACAATGTTAATGTTCGATTCCACGACATTTCCCTAATTCACCTAGTTTCATCTAACGAGCAAAGATTAAGTTACTGTTTTGTTTGATCTAAAATATAAAATATTCTTACACAAATATGTCGTAAAAGAATAATCCTATTCATCCCGACTCTCTTCACTCAAATTAATGTTATTTAACACAAGTGATGTCACAACTCCAGTATATGTGGCACTTAGTGTTATTAAATAAAAAATACAATTAAATGAATTACATAATTTCACATTTACTTGAACTTATCTTAATTATCATGCTATAGTACTAGAAATGTTGACAAATGTCACATGATATTATTCTTGGACTGTTTATAACACAATCAGTTTTTTCATTCAGACATCTTTTGTTGTCACTGCATCTCCCAATTTTTTTAGATAAAAAGTGGCATAATTCTCTATCGTGTAATGTCACATAAACTAATATTCTATATAAAAGTATTTTGTAAGTTAAATGTAAAGTAATGCTATTTATTGACGTGAAAAAAATTTTCATGAACAAACCAAACGTCAGCGACTCCACCCCCACAAACTCTTCTTGTACCACTCAATAATCTCCATTACCCATAAACGACAAAATAATAAAGTATCACGCGTGCCCACTTTCTAACCCTTTTTCTCAACCAAAACTATTTTTCTCCTTTCTTTTCAGTTTCTCCTTCCTGGTCAAATTGATATTATACATGTGTTTTCAATTTCAGAAATTCATAAGAATGTTCTAAAATTTTAATTTAAATATTATGTACAACTTTTTTTGTACAGGGAAGAAGCAGTAATGGAATACAAACGGCGTCATCAACTAACAACAATGAAACCATGACGGTGACGGAGCACCAGGTGGCGACGCTGATGGAAGAGGACATGGGCACCGCCATGCAGTACCTCCAAGGGAAGGGGTTGTGCCTCATGCCAATCTCATTAGCCACCGCTATCTCCACCGCCACGTGTCGCTCCAGGAACCCTATAGCAACCTCCAACAACCTCAACACTAGCAACAACCCATTTTTAAGCGGCGAGGCAGGTGGGCCATCCTCCCCTAGCATGTCGGTTTTGACTGTCCAATCTGCCGCAATTGGTGGTAACGGTGCTGGAGAAGCCTCCGTCAAAGACGCAACTTCCGTTTCCAAGTCTTGATTGATACATCTTCGCGGCTTTCAAACGGCGTTGACTGTTTTCTAACCCTTTCTTTTGGAAGAATGCAAAGTGACGAAAAAAAAGTGTGAAAGTCAAAAAAAAAAAAAAAAGTTTCTGTGGCCTGTATGAACTTTCAACGTCCGACAAGTCTACCAAAATGTGGTCCCTTTTTAATTTCAATATACTGTATGACACGGCGCCGTATTTATGTAGACTTGGCTTAAGTGTGTTTTAAGTTTTTAACTTGAGTTAATCAATGGTGCAAATCCCATTAAGTTCTTGCTTTATTCTTTTTAACTTATTTGAAAAAGAACAACTTCTATAATTCATTTTTTGGCACACCTTTTATTCGATAATATTCAATTATTTAATTTATAAATATATATAAATGAGTGATAGAAAATGTAATTGAAATTAAAATTATACATGGCATATAATCCTTTTTGAATACGAATGCAGATTCCTGCAATGATTAATTATAACTAATTGGGATTAATTTAAAAAATCTAGGGATAAAAAAAGAGCATAATCCACTGCACATAAAAATTATTGACAGCTTTCCATTTTTTTATTCTTTATACCTTTTCCTTTTGAATTAAATAATGTTATTCTGAACTTTACGAATTCCTTGATCTTATGTAAACCATCGTTTTATTGGTCCAATATATTTAATTTTTTAAATTGTCGTTATTAACTTTTGAAATGGAATTGATGCAACCAAAGCCAATTGTTGTCAGCGGGTACTTTTTCATTTTGTTTGCTTATTCAATAATATACAAAAAGGGGGGGTTTTTTTTTTTATAACATTAGTGCAGAATTTCATATTTAATTTATCACTAAGATATAAATTTTTGTCCAAATTTTCCACGATTTGATATCACATCAATCAACAAAAACAATTATAGATAGAAAAATCAACATTATACTGTATAGTATCGTAATATCGACGACATCTCAACCGGTTGATGAATATCGAAAGAATTGTGGTCAATAATTATTGTCGACATCATTACAGAAGTTTATTCATTTTCTATTATAAGCAATTGATACTATATATATATATATATATATTGTATTACAATTTTCCACCAGGGAATATATTTTGTAATTTTTTATTTTTTAATATTACGAAGAGAAAATATGTCACAATTATACCTTTTCAGAGTATTATATCTACAACCGAAGCATTTAATATGTGTCATCCATATCTCTAACCTTTTAACATTGAGAATACGACGTTACAACTCGACTGAAAACGTCTAAATAGATTATAGACTGTAAAAGGTCGTGCAATAGGCATTTGATAATTTTTTTGATTGATATAGTTAACCAAAAATAATCTCTCTCAACTTTAAATACAAATTTATGACTCGTTACTTTAAAATTAATTCTTTTAATTTATTTTATTCTATCAACTGATGGAAATTTTGACAGTAAATTACTTTGATAAGACAGTTTTAAGATATCCTCGACGTAAATCTATGTTGGCAATTTATTTTTAAATTTTCTTGCGGGCGATTTTTATATTCATAAGATATATTTTTGTTTTATTACTTTTTAGATCGATATGGTTTCTTTTTCAATAAATTAAGAGTGCATTTGATTGTTAATTTTTTTCATCAAAAATGTGTTTCCACCTAATTTCCTGCTTTTGTGCTATTTGATTGATAATTTTTTTTATGAAATATTTTCCTACTTTTGATCACATGACCATATTTTCCTTAAAAACGAGGAAGATATTTCTTTGGGGAGATGCGATTTTTATTTTTCACGTAACTCTCTCTCTCTCTCATCTACTCATCAATAAAAAATAGACATTTATTTAAGTTGAAAACTAAATCAATCAAACACATTTAATTAATAATTTACATACAAATAAGTTCTAAGTAATAGAATTGACTAAAATTTATTTTATTTTCATGCAAATTTCATGCTCGCTATCAAACTCGACATAGTAGTTATGAATAAATCTAAACGAACATAGCCAATGTGGCTATGTTCGTGTAGGTTAACTCAATAGTTATTATAAAGAATTATTTTTAGTTATTGTCAATGGAAAAATTATTAGAAATTTATACAATATTTTGATGATAAAGGCTATTTGAAATGAATTTGAGGTTGTCATCATATCTTCCTTCGACTCAAATTGAATAGTACCATCATTCTTGCCAGAGAGAGGCTACTTGTATCGGTCAGGGTGACGAACACCCTGACCGGCCCCTCACAATGTGGGGGGCCCACTTTTTTATTTTCAATTTTTTATTCACGTGGGACCGGCAATCATGTGAGGGTTTGTCAACCTTTTTGTCAAATTCTTTTTGTACAAATAGCTTTTTTCTTCTTGCCAAAAGTTATACCAATTACAACACAATGGCCAACAATTTATTATTTACAACCACAAGTTTCACAGAACTTAACATTTATCTACAAAACTACACACTAAATGTCAAGATTTAATTTAAATGGTAAGAGCAAAGACTTACAAAGGTTGATGACTTGGATTCAGACATCCTTTTGGAGGAGAGTAAAATCCTTTAATCCCATCTAAAAGGAAGAAAGAAATAAAGCTAACATCTCATGATTGTAAGTCAAGGACATTTTTGCCAACCAAGCGAATCAACGACTTTGCACTTGGTGCATTATCCCATTTTACTTAAATCACTCAAGAAATTTTACCCTTGGTTACTACTTGTTCAAGAAGAAGAAAAAGCCGAAAAACCCGGTTGCTCAATCATTTACTCATACCTTTATCCATCCATCACTCCAACTGGACGAAAAATATATGCATAGCACACTGACATCGTTAATGAAATGTACCTATTGCGCCCATTAAGAGAAATGTTAGAAATGTTTGAGTAAAGATTAAACATTTAGAGACCATTTGCACAACAACCCTATAGGTTAGGGACCATTTGTGAAAATTCTCCGAAGTAAAACATATAAGAATAATTTTGGTCATTACAAATGTGATTCTAATAGCATATTCTTTAAATATTAAATATTCTCTATTTTAAAGAGTCGATGCTAAAAAATAAATTTAATAGATTCAATTCTAACTTCTTAAATTAGAGAGTGTGTTTGAAAAGTCAAACTCAATTTCTATTCTTACTTTATGATACTTCGTTTAATGAATTATACTAAAATTTTTTAGATTATTCTAGTCATATTTGAATTATTTGTCTATTCGTATATAATAAAAAATCTTAAATAAAAAAGGAAAAATCAATAAATATTTTTTGAAAAAAAAAAGTTGGCGTCAAATAGAGTATTTGTTGAAGCATACAAAATATTTTTTCTTTGAATTTAAAAAAGCTCCCAATTATACATATAATATTTATAAATAGAATGTTTCTAGAAATGCTCCAACACAAGTTACTATTACATATTAACAATTGCAATTATTTTGATCGCTATAGTAAGATAATGTATCGGTAATTTTACGACAATTGCGATATGCAGGTCATAGGTGTCATCAAGGAAAATCTTAACTTTTGGTTCTTTAATTTTTCAACAATTTCAATAAAGAACAAAACAACGTAAGCAGTATAATTAATTAAAATTATTTGTTTCAATTCTTCGTAAATAATTTTTGTTAGAATATTTAGCCCCTATTTGATAGAGATCTTTTGAAAATAGATTTTGTGACGATTTTTTCGTATAATGTGTGGCAAAATTAAAAGTGTTTATATCCAAAGTTGATTGGACATATGGCATAACAATTATACTTCTGGCCAATCATAATCGTTGACGCCACCTCTATATGCTAACATCAGAATGAAATTGTACGCAACTAAGCCGTAGGATTGAAAGTTCTCTTTATGACGTCATTTCCTATCAAATGGTCTTGCTTTTGTTGTCGTAGAAGTTGAATAGATGGTGTATCTGGTACCACCAACGATGTTGTGATGTTACCTAATAGATTAATCGGAGCACGAGAAAGGTAAATGTAGTGGCAAATCCAGAATTTTGAATGAGTACGAGCGGTTGTTATTAAAAATTAAATATAATAATTATTTTGCTAAAACTGAACATATATAATTTTATTATACATATGGACAATGTTCACCAAATGATATAATGGTCAGGTTTCCTATAAATCAAAGGATGAGCATATGTTCGAATCATTACAATTGCATTAAAACCACTAAAACGGAATATATATTATATTAGATTTAGTTTCAAAATTCAACAACATATAATCAAGTATTCAATAATCTTAAAGGGGGTCATAAGTTCGAATCTCCTGCCTATTGCATTAGTTTTGGTAAAAATCGTAGAACTAGAAAAATTATACAATAAGTTGGTTTGAAAGAGATTCAATCATTGGACCTCCAATTTGTATGTATAACCTCTAACCAACTACGCTACAAGCAATGTTTGAAAATAAAATGAATCACGAGATATATAACCTAAAATTTTTATCTACTGTTAACAAAAAAAAAA